AAAATCTTAAAAAAAAAAAGAGAACCGAAGTATATTCCTCCATTTTCTCATCTGTTTAATGGGAATGTTAATAGTATCTACCTCGTAGAGTTATTATGACAACTAAGTATGCAAAAGCAGTTAGAATAACAGCTAGCACATAATAAGCACTCAGTATATCTTAGCTATTATTATGGCTATCATAACTTCTCAGAACTTTGGTCTGATTTAACACAAGTTCTGCTGAACCTCACTTTGTAAGATAATAAAGGGCAGGTTTTCTTTCTTTTTTTTTTTTTAAGATTTTATTTATTTATTTGACTGAGAGATCACAAGTAGGCAGAGAGGCAGGCAGAGAGAGAGGGGGAAGCAGGCTCCCTCCTGAGTAGAGAGCCCGATGTGGGGCTCAATCCCAGGACCCTGGGAGCACGACCCAAGCCGAAGGCAGAGGCCTCAACCCACTGAGCCACCCAGGTGCCCCATTCTTTCTTTGCTTTTTTTTTTTTTAAAGGGCAGGTTTCCTAAAAGAATCACTCACTCTGGGGTGTCCTGAATGGATGGCACAGTTTATAGACAGGGAGTTGTACAGAGTTAGAGGCCAAGGAAAATCAGTAATTAAAGTTTGCAAACTGCGTTAATTGTTGTTTTCCATAGACCTTTATGGAGGCTGAGATGGTCAGTTGAAGAATGACTGTTTCTAAAGCCTGCTAGCTTCTCAGTAGAAAAATGGCTTAAGAAATCCAGATTTAAATTTGTTAAAGTAAAAATGGAAGCTATCCTTTAAAACCTGTCACAGAGTTTACTCTGAGTTCACCAATTTTAGATCATACCAGGATTCTTACTGGAGGAAGCAGACTGGTGGGATTTAGAACCTACCAGTCCTCCTGGACTTGGTGGACAGTTGTAGGGCTTAAAGGCTGCCTTGGTGGGCTTGCCGTAATTGGGGTATCATAGCACTGAGGTTAGGAGCATGGGGTCTGCGGTTAGAGAAGCCTGCACGGGAGCCCTAAACCGGCCGTGAGCGTTCAGCAAGTTGCCTCGTCTTCACAGTGTTCGGTTCCTTGTCTATAAATCAAGGTACCAGCACCCAGTAACTGCATTGTTGGAAGGAGATTTAAATAACAAAATGCAATTAAAATAATTAGCACTGTGTCCAACACATTGTTGGTAGCTCTCATTAGTGTACTTGAAAATCGATTCTGTGTGTAGCAATAGATCCTTTTCCAGAATGTGATCAGAGCAGGGCCTGGGGAGATTGAAAACCCTAGTCACAGTTTATTAAAATTGAGAATATTAGCCTCCTTGAGGTCTAGAGTTAGGGTCTAGAGTTCCTAAATCTCGTCTTCTTACTGGTTTTATAGTCAAGGAGGCAAAAGCATTTTTTTAAAGGATTGTATTTATTTATTTGACAGAGAGGTCACAAGTAGGTAGGCTCTCTGAGAGAAGGGGGGAAGCAGGCTCCCTGCTGAGCACAGAGCCCCATGAGGGGCTCGATCCCAGAACCCTGAAATCATGACCTGAGCGGAAGGCAGAGGCTTAACCCACTGAGCTACCCAGGCGCCCCCAAAAGCATTTTTAAAAAGGTCTTAATTTTAAATAAATAGCATCCAGGTCGCCCTTTTGTATTCATTTTCATGTACACATAATTAACCTGTCCAAGATTTTCTTTTCTATCGTCTAAAGCCAAGAACTGGAAGGCCAGGCCCTAAGTTTGCCAAACATAGGACTAATGCATTGAGCCACTTAAAAAAATCTCTTTAACCATGTTAAAACACATAAAAGTTAATTCAGAATATAAAAACTTAAGAGGAATAAAAAGAAGCACAAAAGACAAATGAAAAATTAGTATATAATAAAAATAAAGTATGATTTTTTTAACTTCACTTTTTAAAAAAATTTTAATTCTTGGGGTGCCTGGGTGGCTCAGTGGGTTAAAGCCTCTGCCTTCGGCTCAGGTCATGATCTCAGGGTCCTGGGATCGAGCCCCACATCAGGCTCTCTGCTCAGCCGGGAGCCTGCTTCCCTCTCTCTCTCTGCCTGCCTCTCTGCCTACTTGTGATCTCTCTATCTCTGTCAAATAAATAAAATCTTTAAAAAAAAAAATTTTTTTTTAATTCCAGTGTGGTCAACATACTGTGTTGTATTAGTTTCTGGTGGACAATATATTGATTCAGCAGTCTCCTACATCGCCTGGTGCTCCTCGCAGGTGCACTCCTTAATCCCCATCACCTATTTCCCTCATCCTCTCCCCCATCCCCACGTGCCTTCTGGTCAGTTTGTTCTCTGTACTTAAGTGGCGGCTTCTATGTTTATCTCTCTTTTTTTCCCTTTTTTTTGTTTCTTAAATTCTGCATGTGAGCAAAATCATATGGTATTTGTTTCTCTGACTGACTTACCTCCCTTAGCATTATACTCTCTAGCTCCATCCATGTTGTTGCAAATGACAAGATTTCATTCTTTTTGATGGCTGAGTAATATTCCATTGTGTGTGTATGTATGTGTGTATGTATGTGTGTGTGTGTGTGTGTGTGTGTGTGTGTGTATACCATCTCTTCTTTATCTATTCATCTGCACTTGGACTGCTTCCATAATTTAGATATTGTAATTGGAGGTGCATGTGTCTCTTTGAATTAGTGTTTTAGTATTTTTGGGGTAAATACCCAGTAGTGTGATTGCTGGATCATAGAGTAATTCTATTTTTAACTTTTTGAGGAACCTCCATACTGTTTACCAGGGTGGCTACACCAGTCTGCATTCCCACCAATGGTGCACGAGGGTTCCTTTTTCTCCACTTCCTTGCCAACACCTGTTGTTTCTTGTCTTCTTGAGTTTAGCCATTCTGACAGGTGTGAGGTGAGATCTCATTGTAGTTTTGATTTGCATTTCCCTGATGATGAGTGACGTCGAGCGTCTTTTCATGTGTCTGTTGCCCATCTATAGATCTTCTTTAGAGAAATGTCTGTTCATGTCTTCTGCCCATTTTTAATTGGATACTTTAATTGTTAAAGTATGACTTTATTAGTTATTTAATTTTATAAAGTGTAATTTTAAAAGGAGAAAAACTAGATTGAGTTGCACTTTTAATGAAAGATAAATTAAGAGTAGAAATGTTACAAAGGCAGGAAATAGAAGGCCAGAACTCCAAAAGAAATAAAATAGTGCAAGTTAGAACAAAATACTAAAATAGGGCAGAGCTACAAAGTTATAAGAGTTTTAAAAACAAGGTAAAAATATATCCTCCAAAAAGATAAAGACTAGATCCATCTGGAAGTAGGCGAGCGGCATGATCTTAAGTAGGTTTTCCAAGCTGGAACAATGTCCCTGCTCAGGGTTCTCTGTCAAGGCTGCTGAGGGCAGGCTACCTGTTAATACGGACCACCTTTCACTCAGTGCTCCCGAGCCACTAATCTAGGTTGTTTACCTACTTCTATCATTCCTCCCAGGCGCTCTGTGTTGTAGGTATTGTTATCCCCAAACAGAGGAGCAAACTAAGGTTAGCCTAGGCTTGGTTTCACCTATGCTCGATCTTTTTCTGCCTTTCAGGAAATATTGCTATCATCAACAACAACAGAGACAATAACAAAATCCCATGCCCTTTAATTCTTCTTATTCACTGGGTCAAGATTAGCCACCAAATTAGGAGAGACAGCCATTGTTAGCAAACAGCCCAGCGATTGTAAACATATAGTGGGTGCTCTGTGTACCTTAATAAACGTCCAGAGTGTTAGGTTTTTTAGTATCGTTTTCCCTTCCTCTTTTTTTTTTTTCTTTTTGGTGCAAAGTTGATTCTGGTTATTCAAATATTTACCTCAGCTCAGTCTCCTAAATATTTCCTTAATGTGGACACTCTCCATTGTCACTGCCACTACCAAGTTCAGGCCGCCATCTTGTCTTTCCTTATATTAATTTCTCAGGGCACCTGTAACAAATGACCACATACCAGGTGGCTTAAAACAGCAGAAACTTATTCTTTCCAGTTGTGGAGGCCAGACATCCGAAATCAGTGTTGTGCCCAAATCAAGGTGTGGGAGCAGGGCCGCTGTGCTCTCCAGAGGCTCTGGGGGAGAATCCATGCCTTGGCTCCTGCAGCTGCTGGCATTTCTTGGCTTGGGACTGCATCAGTCCAGTCCCTGGCTCTGTGATCATGGCGCCTCTCCCTCTGTGTGCGTCAAATCTCTTTCTCTTACAAGTACGTGTGTTCGCATTTAAGGCCTCCCCAGATAACCAAGGGCGAACTCCCCATCTCAAGGTTCTGAACTTAATCACAATTGCAAAGACTCCTTTTTATCATGTCAGGTGACATTCACAGGTCCCAGGGATTAGAGTGTGACTATCTTGGGGGGGGTGTCCAATTTCCAGTCTGCCACACCTCTAGACTTTCCCAACCACCTCTCCCTTTTGTCCTCTGCTGGGAGCCCAAGTTCCTTTAAACATGCAGATCTAATCCTGTGACTGCCTTGAAACCCTCAGCAGCTCCTTGGCTCTTGACGGCCTGACGACCTCTCCAGGTTCTTCTCCCCAGCTTCTCCCCAGCTTCCCCCTTCACGTCCCCTTCACGTGTGTTCCTGGAGGAGCGGGTTCACTCCCACCTGGGTGGCCCCTCTCTCTGCCTCTTGTTGAGTGGCTCACTCCAGTTCGACATTCCATTCTCATTTCGCCAAAGGACTTCGCTTCTCTCCCCAAGCAGGGTTGGTGTGCCTTTTATGTATCCCATGAGAACTCTGACCTTGATAGGGACAGTCTCCTGATCACATATGCACCCTGGGTGTTTCCTGCACCTGGCACAGTGCCTGACACACAGTAGGTGCTTAATAAATGGGCATTGAGCCTCTTACCTTGCCAAGAGTAATACTATTAACAGAGAGCGCTAATCCACGCCAGAGAGTTTTCGCTGGGGAGGATTGTGTATGCGAATGCCAAAAGTTCCCACGGATTGTTATTTTTAAGCAGAAATCAAGTATTATGTAATTATGGGATCAAAGAAAACATTTTCATGCTTCTTACATTCTGTTTTCTTTCAGGCCATTCCTGTGTTTCTCACTTTGCATAATGTAGCTGAAGTTATCCTCTGTGGGCACCAGAAGTGTTTTCGGAAAGAGGTAAATGGTAACGCAGAATGCTAGTTTCGCTTCCTTTGCTTTAACTTTCAAAGATGCACCTTTTCTTATGGCCCAAATTAGTGTCTACCTTTTCCTGCCATCTGTTTCCTGATGGTAGTCAAGTCTGCTTGGCAGTTGTCCCTCATTTCAAGGATCATGTTTTTGACATCCCTTTGGTTCATCAGACGTATGTGGGGAGCTTGTGGATCTGAGTGGCACTCAGCTGCGTGGCAGAGCGAGCACCCTGGGATACAAGGAGGAGTTTTCTGTGGGCGGAGGAGGAGTGGGGGTGGAGGGCAGCCTTCAGGCCCACAGTGCATCCCAGGGCCACCAGGAAATACATGGCAGAGCCTCACAAAGGGTGCTGGGAGCATTGGCCCACCCCGGGGGAATCCCCTTTGCTTCCCAGGTGACACCCAGCTCCCAGGGTTGTTGGGAGGACACAGCAAGGCACCCGTGTTAAGTGCGTCCAACAGTTTCTGGCCCACAGTAGCTGCTCTGTACATGTTTGCTGTATTTATTAACATTATTAGAAGTGGTTTTAATTTGGTTCCTCTCTTGGGAGTTCTTTCTTTGTAACATCTGCCCTTTTGAAATGGTTTTGCCTACAGATCTGGAGCTTTTCAACTAGAGAGGCTAGTTGGCCATTCAGGCAGCTCACTTCTTACAGGTGTGCAGAAGAGAGAGGTGTCCTTCCCATGGCTGAGGCCCCTCCATACGCCCATGTACCCTGTCACCCCTGCCTGCTCCTTGCAGGCAGCTCTGTGGATGGACTACCCCTTCTGTCCCGGAGAGCTAACCTCTCTCTTTCTCTCTGCTGCCTTTCTTCCCTCAGCCCCCAAACACTGCGTTTTCAGGCCCCCAAGGACAGAACAGGCCCTGGGAGACCCGCTCACAGTAGCCCAGCTCTGGAAGGCTGTTTCTAGAACCGTACCAGTGGGCTCCCTTGCTGTGCACCCCTCCACCTCTGCCCTGCCACTTCCTCGCCCACCCCCAGCACAGTGCCCAAGGGAGGGTTGGGTTCAGAGCTGTCCATGGCCTTGTGTCCCTCTCGCCTCCAGCCTGCTCCTTATTCTGCCTGCACCGTTACCCTGAAGTGCTCTGGCCAACGTCCCTGATGCCTGCATTGCTGCGACTCTGTTGGCCTTTTACACCGTTCATCACCAGGTTCACCGCTGCCTTCCCTTGAGTCTCTTGGCCCCCGTGACCTGCTGGTTCTCTCCCCCAGTCTATGGCTCCTCCTCCTCCTTCCTTCGTCTGCCCTACAGGGTCTCCCAGGGCTGTGGGTCAGGAGCCCTTTGTTCCCCCACACACACTTTCTGGACAGCCTCATCCACACCCATGGCAGCCTCCCTCTCAGTTCACAGGTGACTCCTGTGTCCCATGTCTAGCCCAGACCTCTCTCTTGAGCTCAGACCCCTATGGCTGCCGCCTCTGGCTCTCCCTGCAGCTGTCTCCCGGGCGTATGAAGTGCAAAGGGACCAAACTGGAACTGCTCTGTTTTCACGACCTGCTGCTTAGTGATCTTGATCCTGGTCATCACTGCCCAAGTCAGAAACATAGGGGACCCCTTTGAGTCCTGGTCTCGTCATCCTTCCCCCTACACTCAATTTCTGAATCTGTCCCCTCATCTCCATTCCCACTCTGCTCCCACCTTGGGTCAGGCCCTCATCTGTTTTTTAGGGCTACCTGGCTAGGGGCCAAATGAGATCTTGCTCCCCTGAGCCCTCAAGCAGCCAAGTAGGGCCCGGGGGCGAGCAGTCCTGGCTTAGATGGTTATTTAATTGTGTTCTGTGCATGCCATCACCTGCCTTCGCCTGCCGGGTATGCTGTGTGCCTGGCCACTTTCCCTGCCTCTCCCCATGCTCCCCTTCCTCCACACTGCACCCAAGTGACCTTCTGAAACAGATCTGCTCTTGTCCCCCCATGTACGTGGGAGCTGCCCCTGACCTGCATGGAGGCATGCAAAGATTCCATACACCTCAGGTTTTAGAAAATCCAGCCACAACAAAACTTTTCATTTTTCCTAGACCATGTCATGATGTGTTCTTTTCTGTGATCTGTCAGAGAACCTCTTCAAGCACCCACTCATTCATCGCGATTATATTTACATACCTGTGTACATGCACACCGTGCCAGGCTCTGGGTCTCCAGTAGTGAGCAAAAGGCAACAAAAGGCATGGTCTGGATGTTCTGGGCTCTTCTTAGGGAACATCAGCTGAGCACATTGTGACACCCACCCGCCGGATTGTATGGCCAGAGAGCCCCCAACGGGGAAGTGACATTCAAACACAGACAAAAGCTGAGCAGGAGTTCAGCAGGTGGTGTGAAGGGGAGGGCTCCCAGGAAGAGGAAGCGGCAGATGCAGAGGACCAGATGTCAGAAGGGACTCTGCAGGGGTCACTCTGGGCCAGTGCAGCTGGCGTTTGATAAGAGAGAGAGGAGGGCTTAGGATGAGGCTGGAGACTTAAGACGAGCCTTTGATGCTGAGCAAGGAATTTGGGGTGTATACTGCGTGCAGTGGGAGACTGGGGCTGGGTGTGAAAGGCCAGACGGACTGATCAGATTTACGGTGGGGGAGACAGAACTGCAGGAGGTGAGAGGGTATGCAGTGGCAACTCTCGAGTTCTCACGAGGGAGGCCCTCAGTATTTGAGGTTGGTGTGCGTGCAGTTGGAGCCTGACACCTCGGACACCTTAAGGAGCATGAGCACCTCTCTCCAACACTTGACTTATCACATCACCTTGTGATTTCCATATTTCATTAATTCTAACATGTGCTACTTTTTCTCACATTAAAAAAATATTCACTATCTGCAGTTGGGATGCTTCTACAATCAATGGTGTGCCCAGGTCAAATGCTCTCTTTCTTAGTAATATATAAAGAATGGGGAATTTTACACTCAGGGGCATCTGAGGTTCAGTGCAATGAGGTCGGAGTTTCCCTGGGTCTCTGCCTGCTTCCTCTGAGTCCCCTCTTCTGCAGGGACCACGTGGTTCTTGTCTTTGTAGCCCTCGAGTCCAGCCCCAGGATCGCTGCCGAGCTGAACATTCACGAACTAGTCACTGAGCGTCTGAAACTCCCCAAGATACTCAGCTTCTGGGAGAGGGACTCATGCTTCCTGTCTACAAAGTGAATACTTTTGTTGTGAATTGAAAATGAAGATTTACCTGGTCTGGGAAAAGATCCAGGCATCTCTGCAGGATGTTGCCTCCCGACGGACCAGTGGGATCTCATAGGCGAGGTTGAGTGTAGGAGACAGGTCAGAGCGTCCTCAGGGGTATTTCCATCAGGCAGAGACCAGGGGCCAGTCTTCCAGGCTGAGAGGACCTGTCCTTGGAAGAAATTGGATAAACCAGAATATTTTGAATCTTCATCTCCATTTCATCCCTAACACTAAACAACATCACTTTTTAAAAAAAATTTAATTCCAGTACAGTTAACATACAGTGTTATATTAGTTTCAGGTGTACAATACAGTGATTCAACAATTCTATACATTACTCCGGGCTCATCATGATAAGTGCACCCTTAATCCCCTTTACCTGTTTCCCCCATCCTCTACCCACCTCCCCTCTAGTAACCACCAGTTTGTTCTCTATAGTTGAGAGTCTGTTTTTTGCTTTATCTTTTTTTCTGTGTTTTTGTTTGTTTATTTCTTAAGTTATACGTGTGGTAGTTGTCTTTCTCTGACGGATTTCACTTAGAATTACACTCTCTAGCTCCATCCACACTGTCACAAACGACAAGATTTCATTCTTCTCTTTGGCTGAGTAATATTCTGTTGTAAGTATATACACCACTTCTTCTTCTTCTTTTTTTTTTAAGATTTTATTTATTTATTTGACAGATCACAAGTAGGCAGAGAGGCAGGCAGAGAGAGAGAGGAGGAAGCAGGCTCCCTGCTGAGCAGAGAGCCCGATGCAGGACTCGATCCCAGGACCCTGAGATCATGACCTGAGCTGAAGGCAGAGGCTTAACCCACTGAGCCACCCAGGTGCCCCTACACCAGTTCTTTATCCATTCGTCTGTTGATGGATATTGGCCTGCTTCCATAATTCGGCTGTTGTAAATGCCAATGTAAATGTAAAAGTAAAAAAATGCTGCAATAACCATGGGGGTGCAAATATATATTTTTCAAGTTGGTGTTTTCATATTCTTTGGGTAAATACTCAGTAGTAGAATTACTGGATCATACGGTAATTCTATTTTTAATGTTTTGAGGAACCTCCGTACTGTTTTCCACAGTAGCTGCACCAGTTTGCATTCCCACCAGAGAAGCATGAGGGCTCCTTTTTCTCCACATCCTCGCGAGCACTTATTTCTTGTGTTCTTAATTCTAGCCATTCTGACAGGTGTGAGGTGTATCTTATTATGGTTTTGATTTGCATTTCCCTGATACTGAGAACATTGGGCATCTTTTCATGCCATCTCTATGTCTTCTTTGAGAAAAGTCTGTCCATGACTTCTGCCCATTTTTAATCAGATTATTTGTTTTTTGGGTGTTGAGATGTAAAAGTTCCTTATATTTTTGGATACTAACCCTTTGTCAGATGTGTCACTTGCAAATATCTTCTCCCATTCTGTATTTTAAAATTTAAATTTAAATTAGATCCCATTCTGTATATTTAAATTTTAGTTTTGTTGGTTATTTCCTTTATAAACAATATCATTTCTTATCAAGGTAAATTAGGAAATAGTTGCATGAATTATGTACTTATTTAGTAATTTTAAAAAAACACCTTTCTTTCCTTTATGAATGTAATAAACTACAGTAAGTTGTAGAACATGCAGAGGAAGAAAGTCCCAGAAATCAACGTGATCTTACTTTGCACAGGATACTACTCTATTCTGTCAGACTTTTTTCCAACATACATATGTAGACATACTGCCACAAATGATATAACATATCCTATTTTCCACTGATCAGTTTGTCAGGAATCTCTATTCATGTCCTCATTCCGCTCCACATGGAACATGATGTGTTGGCCAATCCCTGTTTCTAGGCTTGCAGCTGGTTTCTAGTAGCTTGGCATTAAAATCTGCTCTGTGATGACGATGGAAGATTGGCCATGACCTGTTCCCATAGGATTCACGTTCCTGATCATTTAGCCTGGAGCCTCAACAAAGTGACCAGATGTTACCAGGAGCACAACTGTGTGACATCTCTTAGACTTCACCTGTCACTCACCTTCAGGCCTGTTTTGTCCAGCGTGTGTCAGTTTCACCAGGCTCCTCTCCAGAGAGTAAGGTTGGCCTTCTCAGGACCTTGTTCCCAGGTTATAAGGATAAGCTCTGTCTGGGGCTGTGGTTCGTGGTCACCATCCATGGCTCTCTGTGCTTGCACGCGCAAACGCACGCACATGTAGTCTGACTCTAAGGTAATATGGGGCTTATAGAATTAGTCTCGCTACCTTGCAAATAGACTTGTCACAGCTGAACATGAGAATGCTGCCGTTCATCCTTTTGTTCGTTTGTTCCCCATTTATTAAGTCTACACTATGTATCAAACATCTGGCTAGGCCTGTGGCTGTGGAGCTCTACAGGACACACTGATCACCTTCACAGGACTCAGCTGAATGGAGGAGCCAACACATAAACACACACTGTGATGCCCATAGAATGCCATATGGGCTGGAACAGGGGTATGGGTGGACCGGGGTAAGTCTGCTTATGAAGGGCCAGGGGCAGGATTTGAACCCAGTCCTGCAGCTGGTAGGAATTTTCAAAGTGCAGGGAGAAAGGGCACTAGGCAAGCAGAGGAAGCAGCAGGTGAAGGTAGGCGTCTGAAAGGGCTGGTGGGTGTCCCTGCAGGACTGGCGGGCTGGCAGTGGCAGAATAGTGTCATAAAAGGTCAGGCTCCGGGGCTAGATTACCGAAGCTCAGACCCTGAGCAACTTTAACTTCCCTGGCCTTGGTGTCTGCCTCTGTATCATAGAACCTGAGACGTAAGTAACCCATAATGAAATAAGTCAATACACGTTGGGGCCTAGAACAACCCTGGCACAGAGTATGTTATCCTCAGAGGAAGTTAGCTGACCCCCCTGGAATGTTAGTTACTTATTGTTATTTTTGTTGATGTGACTTGAGAAGTTATACTGACCCTTCAGAACACTGACATATCACTAGGACTTACCCCTGGGTGACTTTCAGACTGAGGAGCCTCAAAAGGTGAACGCCTGACGTTAACTCCTGAGTTGTTTTCAGAGCCCCGGGAAGGGGAGCTCAGTAATGCGTTTAATGCTTGTTCTCATCTCCGTATCTCAGGTTCTGGAGGCGTTTACAATAAAAAAGCAGCCTTCCTCTGTGGAACAGGTGAAGTCTTCTGGGCACTGTATTGATCTGCTACCCGGTGACGGAAGCCCCCAGATGGTTGCTGGGTGCACCTGTTACTACTCACGGACCAGCTGGAATGTGCTCTTTAGCTCTCTCCTGTCTGTTCCTGCTTTTCTGCCTAGCTCTTGAGATGTTGATTGCCTTTAGCCCAGAATCCTTTATTTTTTTAATTTCTTTTTAAAAATTTTTATTTTTTTATTAACATATAATGTATTATTAGCCCCAGGGGTACAGGTCTGTGAATCGCCAGGTTTACGCACTTCACAGCACTCACCATAGCACATGTCTTCCCCAATGTCCATAACCCCACCACCCTCTCCCTTCCCTCCTACCCCCGGCAGCCCTCAGTTTGTTTTGTGAGATTAAGAGTCTCTTATGGTTTGTCTCCCGATCCCATCTTGTTTCATTTATTCCTTTCCTACCCCAAGTCCCCCACGTTGCCTCTCAGCTTCCTCATATCAGGGAGATCATATGATAATTGTCTTTCTCTGATTGACTTATTTCGCTCAGCATAATATCATCTAGTTCCATCCACGTTGTCGCAAATTAGCCCAGAATCTTTTAGCGACACATTTTCCCACCATGGGGCACTTCTCCAGGTGCCCTGAGCCAGGTCACCCTTTTGGGTCATCCTTTCTGTACTGTAGGGATGGGCTTCCACCAGGTGGCAGTGGAGTCAAGGTTGGCACCGCCAGCTGAGGCAGGTTCCACAGCGATGAGAGGAAAGGAGTTAGAGCTGCAAGCCACTGCTTTGCACACAAACAGGATCTATTTATGAAAACAGTGCAAACGGGATTATTTAGTAATGCATGAAAACTGAATATGGGCTTCATAGCAAACCAAGTTACCTTTTCAGTCTCTGCATTTTTAAAAAAAATTGTCGTGGCTGGCGTGACAAATCGACCAGGAACGTGAGGGTAAGAGGATGGTGAAAAGAAATTAAGAGACAAAGAGATGGGGGCAGGAGGAGCACTGAGGAGGATGTCCAACAGTGCCGATTTTATTCCACATCTTACAAGCATTTATAAAGCAGACCACAATAGAAGGAGTAATACATCAGTACCTAGTCAGATAACCGCAAGTTCCTACTACAAACACATCTCGTGATGCCAGGTAATCACGGCTAATGCCATTAGCTACTATTGATACAAGAAGTTACAATCAACCAGGGAGTGGGTTATGGGAAGTACAGGAAAAACAAGGACCAACTAAGAATTCATGACCCTGACCACGTTGTTCCCTTCTGTAGGAAGAGCGTGTGGGAAGTTATGTAGGCGAGCGCACGACACGTAGCACAGACCCTTTCTCAGTGTTACTCAACTTTCCTGTCCTTAACCCCTTATCATGGTGTCCGGACTTTAAAGGAGACACAAGTCAGGGCCTGGTTTGATCCACGACTCCAACCATGCCATAGCCTCCAACAAAAAATGAAGATACGATTGACCTATAACATCATATTTGTTTCAGGTGTCAACATAATGGCTTGATATTTATATATCTTGCAATATAGATCACCATAAGTCTAGTTAGCATCCATCACCATATGTAGTTATAAAAATTGTTTTCTTCTGGTAAGTACTTTCAAGATCTACTCTCTTAGCAACTTATGAATCTGCAGTATAGTATTAGTAACTCTAGTCCCTGTGCTGTACATGACATCCCCAAGACTGGGGGATGTCTTTTGTAACTGGAAGTTTTTACCTTCTGAGCGCTTCATTTTTATTTTTTTAAAAGATTTTATTTTAGGGACGCCTGGGTGGCTCAGTTGGTTGAGCAGCTGCCTTCGGCTCAGGTCATGATCCTGGCGTCCTGGCATCGAGTCCCACATCGGGCTCCTTGCTTGGCGGGGGGGCTGCTTCTCCCTCTGCCTCTGCCTGCCATTCTGTCTGCCTGTGCTCGCTCTCTCTCCCTCTCTCTCTGACAAATAAAATCTTAAAAAAAAAAAAAAAGATTTTATTTTATTTATTTGGTAGAGAGTGGGAGCACAAGCAGGGGGAGTAGCAGGCTGAGGGAGAAGCAGTCTCCCTGCTGAGCAAGGAGCCCAACATGGGACTTGATCCCAGAACTCTGGGATCACGACCTGAGCTGAAGGCAGATGCTTAATCAACTGAGCCACCCAGGTGTCCTTTGAGTGCTTCGTTTTTAAACACTATATTCATACCTCACTTTTTTTTTAAAAGATTTTATTTACTTGACAGAGACACAGTGAGAGAGGGAACACAAGCAGGGGGAGTGGGAGAGGGAGAAGTAGGCTTCCGGTGGAGCAGGGAGCCCGATGCAGGGCTCGATCCCAGGACCCTGGGATCATGATCTGAGCTGAAGGCAGACGCTTAACGACTGAGCCATCCAAGCACCCCATTCATACTTCCCTTTCAAGAGTTAGAGTCAAAAAGCTGTAGTTTGGGGGCGCCTGGGTGGCTCAGTGGGTTAAGCCTCTGCCTTAGGCTCAGGTCATGATCTCAGGGTCCTGGGATCAAGACCCTCGTCGGGCTTGCTTCCTCCTCCTCTCTCTCTCTCTCTCTCTCTCTCTCTCTGCCTGCCTCTCTGCCTACTTGTGATCTCTCTCTGTCACATAAATAAAATCTTTAAAAAAAAAAAATCTGTAGTTTGTCCCCAACTAGCAAAGTAATCCTTTTGAAATATCCAGAATTAATGTTGTTTCCTCTACCAAATATAGAAACATCTGTGCTTCTTCGTGCTATAACTTTATACATGAGTGCAAAGAACTAATTCCCGTAAAATGCTAATAAAAATGATGGGCCGCCTGGGTGATTCAGTCGATTGAGGATCCAACTCTCGGTTTCAGCTCAGGTCATGATCTCAGGGTTGTGAGATTGAGCCCCGCATCGGGCTCTGGACTGGGCATGGAGTCAGCTTGAGATTCTCTCTCTCCCTCTCCCTCTGCCACTCCCCTCACCTGCTGCTCATGCTCTCACTCTCTAAATAAATAAAAAATTTTTTAAAAAGACTAATAAAAAGGAGTGAATAAAGGTAGGGCCTGCATTAGAATGTCTTCATTTCGGTGCATTTTAAATGCCAAGTTTAGATTTCCCCAATCTGCCCTTTCTCTCTCTCTAGGGATGGAGCCAACTGTCCCTTCTCCTTTTTCCTGTTTCTTCATTTGTACGTCATCCCAGAGAACTTACAGCACTGTTCAGAGTCAGGGCTGGATCAATGAAAAGCAAACGTAAGGAGGCAGACTGGAATAGAAACTGAACGAGAGCTTGATTTCTCTTCTTCCACAGGTCTCCATCGATTTCTCTCTCTCCCTTTCTTGGTGTGTAAGATATCTGAAGGCTTGGCCCTGGCCTTGTTTTGGGGTTTTGTGAGTAAACCCAGTTCCACGGGTGAGGGTAGAAAAACCACACACCCAGAGTTCTTTGCCCAAGTGACTCAGCTCTGGACCTCTGAGTCATCCTTTGTGTGGTCCAAGCAGAAAAAGCCTCCAGAAATACCAAGGTGCAGCCAGCTCTTAAGCCCCCATTAAGCTTACTCAACATTTATTTGCCTCTTGATCTGAATATTTTCTTTTAAGGGGAAAAAGAGGATTTATACAGACTAACTATAAGTCTCTTTTATTTTCATACAGAAAACTTCTCCTGCAAAGATCTGTAGGTAAGTTAACACAACAACAACAACAACCCACAGCCCTCTAAAATGGAAGATTTAACCTGATTTTAAATGATGATAAATGATTAGAGATTCCTATTTGAGAGCTGACAGAATTTATTACAAACAGTTAAATACCCCTGTTTTGTGTCTTATGCTAAATTTTACTATCTCTTTCTTTCTTTCTCTGTTTTTGTTTTTTTGTTGTTGTTGTTTTGTTTTGTAATATTCTGTTCCTAAGGGGAAAGTAACCCATGCTTGATTTCAGTCACTGATGCCCAAAACTTCACTAAGAGTTGTGCAATACTGATGGGAGAAGGAAAATGGAAAACACGGGAAATGACTTAAAATGCTTACAATCATGTTTGCACTTTATTGGGTTTCTATGATTCCCTTGGTGGGACAAGCACTGGCCGCAGGTTCAGGGATCTGGGTCGTGGTCTTGGGCCACAGCAAGGTGACCAAGGGCAGACTTCATGGCCCTTTGTGCCTCGTTCCCTCGGCTGAAACGCGAGCTGGGCTGGACTCTTGGGCCGGTCCCCACACCCCGTTATGTGCTAACCTGTAACCCTGTTCTCTAGCTGCTTCCGGCCTCCTTGGCTCTAGCTCCAAAGCTCAGTCCTGAGGATAGAAAACCAACAGAAATGCTTTGACACATGGATTTAGGACTTTTTGTTTCCAATATTTCTGGGCTTTCATCCAGTCTCTTACTTTGCCTTTATTACAGGCTGCTACTTGGAAAAAGAAAAACACAACACTGTCAGGACTCATCCTCTTGTTTAAAAGATTAGCAGGTGTTAAAGAGAGGCATTAAAACCCACTAATACCTGATATAATCAGGTGTTGCTCAAGGCCAAGTTTGGTGGGAAACCAAGCAATGTCTTCCACCTGGCTGTTCCCCATCTCCTCTCAGCCCCAAGGGGCTGTCTGTGTAAGAGGACCTCTAACATGCATTGCCTGTGGATGGGGAAGCGTCCTGTAGCCTATAAAGCCTTCTGCTGTAGGTAGACACCAAACCTATTACGGTTCTCCTCTCCTCTCCCCACCTAAAACCTGCCTAATTCTGTGAAGTCCCAGAAACCCTTCCAGCTGCCTCCCTCCATTCACCCCACCCTTTGCCTCAGAGTCCCTTGACAATCTGCTGCCTTGGAGTCTTCTGGAGGCCCTTTGTGTGTGCACCGTCAAAGCTGGTCAGGCTGTAGAAGGAGGGCAGGCCAGAGTGGAGAACCTCCTTGTATCCCAGGGTGTCCCGTGTTGTGCTGACCTTCCAGGGCTGTGAGGTCCCAGCTCTGAGGATTCCCCGTACTGGTTCCCCTGCCCCAGGCCGCCGGCCACACGAGGTGGGTTCTGCATATTTGGCAGGAATGCCGCGGGAGTGATGTGGCCGTCTTGGTATGTCGTATCAGGAGGCATATGGAACACACCTGTCCCATCACTGGAGATGTTCAGGTTGATCATGTGGGGAAGGTAAAGCACAAAAGATTTTAACATGCATTCCACGGCGTTTCCTTTTTCCTAAGTGGCAGAACTGCAGTCTGATTACCCAGTTTTTGTGTATCTGGGGGGACCTGCGGTTTAGAAAATTTCTTATTACCTGGTTCACGGGCATCCTGTTTTTCTCAAGTGAGTCAGCTGTGGTTTTGCAAATGTCCTGCAAGTAAGTGCCCATGTCTGGGGATGAGGCCAGCTGAGCCCCAGGGAGGGAACTGTCTGGTCCCCAGAGGGGCACGCAGTGGAAAACTGCACAGGTAATGGGGTTCTCAGAGGAGGGAAGGGCACGGGGCGGAGTCTCAGCTCGGCCCCAGGCTCGATCCATTCCATGTGTTTCAGCCCCCATGCTCTCTGGGCAACCCTTTGATACTGAAAAGTGAAGCTGCCTGTTTCATCTCTCTTTGCACAGTGCCCTCTTTCTCCTGGCTGCCGCAGGATGCCTTCCCTTCAATGACCCCCAGGTAAGTTCAAGTGCACTCATTTTGCCTTCCAGGTGTCTTTTATGGTCTGAAGCTTCTGTGTATGAGCAGAACTTCCTAGTCCTTCCTTTGGGAATCAGAAGAATCCCAGCCTCTGCAAAAGCTAGGTACCTCCAGGCCAGGTCAATACCTTTTCCACAGGCCTTCGCCTTTTCTTCAGGGCTGTGGCAGCTCGGTGGAGCTCTGGGCTCCGGGGGCCATGGCGGGCGCCATTGGCCCTCTGTTTGTGCTTGGAGGACCCACAAGTCCCAACCCAAATTGCCCTAGCCTCATGTACTGAGGCGATGTTGATTTTCCCTTTCATCCCAAGGGCCTCATCTGCAGAGTGATTTTCACTTTGTTACCCTGAGTTTTTCTTTATTAGGCCCTGAGGACCCGCCTCCTCACCCCTCCCCCCGGTAGTCATCTTGTGGTGGGTCTGTCTTCTCTCTTTTCTCCCCCAGCAGTTATTAAGTCCCCATCAAGTGTCAGGCACTGAGCCAGGCTCTGGGGACACAAAGAAGAATTGTCCTCATCCAGGCAGAAGTCAGAGTCTAGTCAGAGCAAAGGAGAGGAGGACAGACAAGAAACAGATAATTATAGCATGGGGAGGCCAGGGCTCTGTTGTGGGGAGATAGGGATGCCATGCGGCACCTAAGACTCGGGGGACCGGGGAAGTGGGAAGAACTCATGATTACAGGAAGCCAGCTATGTGCCAGGCTCTGGGCCAATGCTTCATGTGCTTTATTTTATTCAAAATCTCGCAGTTGCCCAAGGAGGACTCTTACTGTCTCCATTGCATAGCTAAAGAGTAACGAGGTCCCCAAGTCACCAGCTAGTGAGTAAGTGGGGATCTTTCTGATGCTAGAGCCGGACTCTGCTCTCTAGACCTCAATCTTGGAGGGTGAGGAACAGATGGCCAGAAGAAAGCAGGTGTGGGCACCGCCGTGGAGGTGTCCTGCCTTTCTGGGATTCAGCTTTAGTGAGCACTATGTGCATGCCCCTCTGTAAATTCCTGCCCTTCTGGAATTTACAGGCTAGTGGATGGTGGAGAAAGAGACAGATGATACATGAAACAGAGTGTAGTAAGTGAGATAAACTTCTACAGAGGAAAATAAGGAGGGGAAGAAGAGAGGGAGTGCTCCTCAGCTGAGTTGGTAGGGGAAGCATTCGGGCTTGGGGAGGTGCAAGTTCTTCCTCTGGGGGGCATGCAGTAGATGGGACTGGTGGGGTTGACAGGGGCTTGTCCTAGAGATCTTTGGGTGCCATGAGTTTGGATTTTATCCTGAAGTACTGAATGATTTTAAGCAGTAGGTGACACCATCTGATTAGGCTTTTAGCGACACCGTGTGAAGGAGAACAGGAAAAAGGGTGCTGGAGGCAGAGAGCCCTATTAGGAAGATATCATAGGCATCGAGGTGAGAAATGAAGATGGACTGGCCAAAGGCCCCAGATTCCTGTCATGGCAGCCTTGCTTGACGCCATTCACTGACATTTAGGGTTTCTGATGACCACTCTGGGTCCCGTGTGTCCCTACTTGTAGCCATTTTATTATTATTATTTTTTAAATCCTGTGTTACAGTTTGATCCCGGTGGATATTTCTGGGCTGTAATTCACTCATTCTGCGTAGGTAAGTTTTAAAAGAACGCTTACTTAAATCATTGAGGCTTATTATTTAGACCTTATGATATATCCACTTTTCGGAGACCTTGAACGATAGGAAGATTACAGACAAGGCAGGCGTCAAGGTTGAACTTAAACGGGCATTTTCTTATCTGATTTTCCTGTTTGGGAGTTTTCCTCAAATATTCCCATTTCTGATATAGTCTCGTCTTTTTCTCAACAAACGTTAATTAACTCACCACGGCTCTGGCCTGCTTGCTCACGTCTACTTGAGAAACGCTGGTTGGTCTTTAAAAATGGTAAGAAGAGATCCAGAAGTTTGTGTCAGAAACACTGTCCTTCAGCAGCATACCCAAAGAGAGGGAAGCAGGGGAACTAAGAGGGCCATCTGACTTCATTTCCAGTCATCTGTTCAGTTTTTCCCGTCTGGAGTCTTAGGGGGAGCAGGGCCCTGCTTTGGCTACACACGGTTCAGAAATGCCGCGTGTCCCTTCCTCCCGTGCACCTTGCAAAGGAAGCTGAAACCTGTCTGTGAACTGTGTGTCCTTCTGCTGATCACGAGCCCTCCCTGCCCAGCCCTCTCTGTACTGAGCAGTCATCACAGGGGATTACTGTACTGGCATCCTGGGCTCCCCCCAAGGGCGGTGGTGCTGCCCCCTGTCGGTGGGGTGGGGGTGACCCTCTCGGGAAGAGCTGCCCTCGCCCTTGTGGTTTTCGTGCTTCCCGGCGGGTGTGGGCAGCCCCTTACACAGAATGTCCTGTGCCAGTAACACGCGCCGCTTCGTTTTCAGGGGCATATAAGATATTTCAGAAGGCCCGGCAACCCAGTGCGCTCAGGTAAACCTTTTCCTGTGTGGTGGGTTGTTCGGTTCAAGCAAAGGGGTGAGACCCATGGTGTCGTGAGCTTGTTCTGTTCAGCTGGAGACTCTGCACAGCAGCCGGGGGCCTCCAGGGCCATTTCTCCTGCTGTTGGGCCCTTGCATGCGGGCACCACCAGCACCTGATCCTACCCACCGTCAGCAGTGGGTGAAGAGCAGGGGAGGCCCTGGCCTCTTCCTGCAGGGGCAGCTGTTCAGATGATATTTTTATAAAAATTACATGACCCGCTGCTTTGGGGCCCCAGTTTACTTCTTCCAGCTCGGAGGCCAACTCTTTTTTCTGTTTCTTCAGCCCCTTCCTAACTTGACTTCATTCAGACCCAGAAGTTCCCCCAGGCCTGAGCTCTGTGCTGGGGTAAAATGAGAGTTCTGTTGCTCAGTCAATTCACCAGACGACAGACAAATGTCAATGAAAAGAGAGAGGAGTCCCGGCATGGGTTGGCCTGCAGCTGGGAGATTCAGAGGCCCCGGACTGGCCCCCTGGCCTCTGGTTTTTGAGGCCACCAGAAGGACCCCTGGGAGAAGATTATACTCTCAGAGGCTGTGACTTTCAGTCCTTAGAACACCTTTTGTTCTTTTAGTGAAGGGCTTCTGTAGCAAAAAGCCAGCAAAGTTGCCAGATAAAATATAGAATGCCCAGTTAAATTTGAATTTCAGGGAAGTAGTGATTCCTTTTTTTAGTGTAACTATGGCCCATGCAATATTTGGAATATACTTGAACGGGATTCTTTATATGAGATTCAGATTTATTTGGGTGTCCTGTATTTTTATCTGTCAAATATGGTGGCCCTGGGAGCCAGGCAATGGCCTGAGAGACTTGACTCTCCTTTCACAGTGGGAAATGTACATGTAGGAGATAATCTGTCACAGGTGAAAATGTTTGTAATAACTATTAACTAGGAAGTGTTTTTTTAAAAACAAGCCAGGAACAAGTTTTGAATATAAAGTATACCTCATACAATTTATTGACAATTTTTAAATGTAGAAATTTAACCATAGATATAATTTACTAGAATATAATGCCGCTTTTGTGTATGTAAAACACTTCTGTTATTTTACATGTCTTATCTCTCTTTTTTTTTTTTTCTAACTCCTTAGTGACATTGACCAGCAGTACTTAAACTATATGTTCAGGTAAAATATAACTTACGTTTTCAAGAAACAACTCCTATCTTTCTAGAGCTAACGGATTTTTAGTTCCCAATAATATTTTGATTAGAGAGTTCTGAGCCAGGGTGCCTACCAGAGAGGCAAGCTAAATAATTTGTGAGATGACTAGAAGTTGAGAAAACCAAATTGTAGTTCTATCCGTAGACCAGGCAAGAGGAACCTTTTTCTGGCTCCAGAGTTCAGAAGGCCATGCCTTTCCCCATAGGTGCTGAAGTCTGTAAGGCTAAGGGGACATTTCTTCGCAGGGCCCACTCCCTGTAGTGTGTGTGTGTTTTGCAGCTACATGTAAGGCCTGTCTAACAAACCCACGACTTCTGAATGACCCAACATTCTCACTGCCTTTCTCCTGACCCTCCTCTCCTCCTGCCTCTTTGCATGGCGCCCCTCCTCTGAGCCATCAGAGAACCTGCACTTTAGGGGCAGAACAAAGGAAGAAATTGAGAAAATTGAGAAATTGGTGCAAGGAATTAATCCCGGGGTAGAGAGGAGGCAGCTCTTTCATACTAACAGTGGCTTCCCTGTTCAAACTGTCCTCCACACTGCCTATAATGTCACCGACTAGAGACTTTGATGGTTCTCCATCCTGGTGCCCTTGAGCGCACCCAGGGGTGTAATGGAGGAAAACAGCTGATGCCCGGATCTTGCCCTTAGAGAGCCTAGCCAGGGTGTTGGCTATTCTGATGTCCAGTCAGCATAAGGACCAGTGTAGGTTATCTGGCATTAAAATTTTTAAAAATTCCCTCCTATCCTTGGATAAAAAGTTGTATTCCTAACCTCTAGCCAGATAGTTGGCCAGGCAGCATGGTATTGTGATGGAAGAAGGTGACCCTGGGGTGACCCGGGGCAGTGTGAAGGTGCAGTGGGCGGGTGCTTCCTGGGAGACAGAGAAGCTTCCAGAGAAGAAGATGGGAGAATGCCAAGGACCAATAGGGCCAGTGTCAGAGGAACACTCCTCCTCCTCTTCATCCTTTTCGGCTTCTATTGCCCATCAGTCCAGGTAGTTTCTAGGCACATGGTGGGTGAGATGGATCATTCTGTGGGAAATCTAGCTTATCTTCTACAGAACTAATTTTATGGTAAACACACATACCTCATGCTCAACAGCTAGTTTTTCTATTGCAGCCAATCTATAATTGAGAGTCTGCTTTGTTGAACTTACACATACTCTTGGCAGATTAGGTGAGCATGGTGATAACGGCTACACGGCTGGCCTTGGAGTGGGGTGTGGTCAGCCCCCTTGCCCAAAACCGAGGCATCTCAGGAGATCTCACCCTCTCACTGATGAGTGAGACCATTCTCTGCAGATAATCAGCTTTTAGGCAGATTTCACTGTTTCTGAGCAGAATGGGCGGAAATGCATGTTGCTGTTTTCTCGGTGCTGGGGGAAGACTTCTTACTGCTCTGCTCTTCTGTTTTCAGCGTGGTGCTTCTGGGACTTGCATCTCATCCTACAGGTAAGTCAGTTTGTTTTCTGTGGCCCATTCAACCAGCTCTGTGACCCGGTTGTATCTCTGAGGGAGATTCTGTGAGAGAGCGCGGTTTGCCTGCCAGGATGGGAGCTCCGGCGTTAGGCATGGCCCACATGCTGGAAACTGGTCTCAATGACCCCTTGTGGATCCATTGCCCATGAATTTATTCTTACCCCTTCTTGAATTTTGTCGTCTGTGTTTTCATCTGATACAGCCTCAGCTGTCCAGACAGGCTTGTTATCTGCTGGATAAACTAGTGCTCAAGTTCTCTTTTTCTAAAGTTCCTTCTTTAAACATCCAGAATTGCCTCAGTCCTAGTGGGAAAGGATTTGGTGGAAAATTTCAGATTCACCCTACAGCCGACTGACATCCTTTCGTACATTTTTATCATACGCAATCATACGATAGTCATCATTGCAGAAGAAGGAAGTCAAATTTTAAAGCTTACCTTTGCCCTGTTGGCTGCCTTGGTTATTTTACAATTGTTTCCCTGATTCAGGAATCGCCTACAATACTCTGTTCCATTGTGGTTTTTTACTCTGAAAGGTTTTGAAGTTGATGCCAAATGTCACAAAATAGTATCCGCGTGCGTATGGCTGGAAATGCACATTTCATCAGTCAGGCTCCTTCAACCCAATCCAATCAATGTCTGTTGGCCGTTTGCTGGGGCTTAAGGCATTTCCCAAGCCCTCAGAGTCTCAGTTAAAATGAGAAAGGTGAACTGGCTTATTTCTAAAGCCCTTTCTAGCTCCCGTTGTGCCCAAAACGATGACAGCTTTCTGCTGGTGCCTTTAGCTGTTTCAGATTATTTGAACTAGTCTCCCAAGGAAACTGTCAGTAGCGACGCAGTGTTTCTTGGTCGTATCTGACCCATCTGAACCTGTGTCTCATGAGTATACCTCGAATTTCTTTTCTCAGAGCCTTACTCCATACTTTCCCACCGTGATGCACACCTACTGTTTTCTGCCCATTCCCCCAGCCTGGGGCTGTCTCCCGACTATGAGGTTTGCTGTTGAGTGCCCTCTGCACACTCGTGTTGAAAACCTATCCCTTAGCAAAACAAAAATCATATGAAACCCATGATGTGAACCCTACCCATTTCCCCTCACCTGTGCCATAGCTTCTATGCCTTGGCGCGTGCCTCCTGTCATTCTTTCATGCCGTCAGGAGGTTGCCATCCAAGAGATACTCACAAGCCCCCGAAGCACCCTCCCCCTTGCAAAGCGGTTTTGGTCAAAGCCTTTGGAAAGTTCTCTGGTTCTCCTCGAGCTGCATGCTCATTTGCTCCCTGTGAAATTAGTGGTGGACTTGGGTGACTAATTCTCACGTAAAGAAATCACTCTGCCTTTCGACTAAGAGGTGATGCTCGTTCGTTTGTTACTCATGATTCTCAGAGCTGGAAGGAGTCTTAGTGATTATCCGTGTTGCCACCTCCTTTTGCAAATTGGGAACTTGAAGCCCGGAGCAGTTAAGGGATGTGGCCAAGGTGGAGCAGGGGAGGCGAATAACCGAGAAAGACTGGAATTTAGGTCCTGACCCATCTCCCAGGTTTTTCTTTTTAAATGCTTCTTTTTTCAGGGATCCTGTGGTTTATTAGAAAGTCTCCTGAGTGAGTGAATACTTAAATACGATTTTTTTAAATTTCCTGTGAGAGCTTCTCTTGGATTTTGTTTTTACTTTGTTCTGTTTTTGAGAGAGAGAGAATGTCTGTGCATGCACACATGTGAGGGGCCAGGGAGCAGAGGGAGAAGGAGAGAGAGAATCTTAAGCAGGCTCCAGGCTCAGCGCAGAGCCTAATGTGGGGCTTGAACTCACAACCCTGAGATCATGACCTGAGCGGAAATCAAGAATCAGACACTAAACCGACTGAGCCACCCAGGCTTCTCTTGGTTTGAGGGGCATTTGTCTACCAGTTTCTGAGCACAGGGATGCTAGTAATAGTTTATACAGTTTGGCCACCATTCCCACATTTCACCTTGAGTTACTGCTAAACTTTTAGGTTAGTGCAAGGATATACTCTCTGGGCACACAAAGTGGTCAACAGCCTATGGTCATAGAATGGCCTGGGCAGAAGAGTAATTTAAGATAGGCCCCAGATTCTTTTTGAGGTGATGAAATGTTCTGGAATTCGGTAGTGGTGATGGTTGTACAACTCGGATAATATTCTAAAAACTACTGAATTTTTAAAAATGATTTTATTTCTTTATTTGACAGAGACACAGCATGAGAAAGAACAAGCAGTAGGGTGGGAGAGGGAGACGCAGGCTTCCCGCTGAGCAGGGAGCCTGATGGGGGGCTTGATCCTAGGACCCTGAGATCATGACATGAGCCGAAGGCAGCTGCTCAACAACTGAGCCACCCAGGTGCCCCCAAACCACTGAATTTTAAAAAATGTATGGGGTTTATGGGGCTCCTGTGTGACTTGTTGGTTAGGGATCTGATTCTTGATTTTGGCTCAGGTCATGATCACAGAGTTGTGAGATTGAGTTCTGCATTGCCCTCCAAGCTGAACATGGAGCCTGCTTAAGATTCTCTCTTTCCTTCTCTCTCTCTGCTCCCTCTTCACTCTTTCTCTCTCTCAAAAAAAAAAAAAGTATAGGGGCTAAAAAACAAATCACTCTTATTTTGAGAACCTGTTTGAAACTCAGTTATGCCAGAAAAAGATATTTGCAAAGATTAATTTTCCTCCAGATTATATTTAAAAAAAAAAAAAAAAGCATGGACATCAGATGCTTAGTCCCATTCCTTCTGCAGGCTTTGATCACTTGTCTGGTGAATGATTGATGGGTCTGTGGTGGGCAGCTCAGGGAGTTGTAAATCCTGTGGGATTCATCAGAGAGACTGGGCACACTTCTCTGGAGGGACTCCTGGATGCAGGTTTGCTGTGTTGCAGTTTTTCAGATGGCTGAGGGGATTGTCTCTGAAGAGGCCAGGTGAAGAAAGCCAGTCTCCTGAGAAGGATCTTGCAGGCCTGTAAGACCAGCTGTGACTCTGGTAGCAACAGACGAGGTGGTCTTGGCTTCTTGCTTGGCCTCTTGCTGTAGGTGGCTGAGGCTCCCCAGTGAAAGGATGCCCCAAAGCTGTAGGGTTCAGGAGGCCTTCAGGCCTCAATAGCAGGGTCCAGTATTGGACCTGCTTTGACCTCCTTTGAGGCCCTGGCGAAGGTGGGTATGGGGTTCTGTACAAGCTGGTGGCTGCCTTCCAGAAGAAGCTGAAGATTTCCATCTATCCCAACACCAAGTCCAGCTTCTAACCCACGAGCATCCCAAGGAAACACTGTAAAATTTCACCTACTCCTTTGTGTATGAAGGTGCTCTGTGTGTGGTCACTGTGATCCCATTTGTTGTTTTCTTAGAACTTCTAGAAATTATACGCCAAGGGGCCTTAAAGACATATATCAGTGTTTTTCTTTTTGCCTCTGGTCAGCGGGGTGCCAATGACTTGAAACCTTACTATCAACGGGCTGGTCCTTATGGGCTTGCTTGGATCAGGAATATTGAGTAGCAAAACAATCCTGACTAGAATAGGGAAGCTACTTGTGAAATCCACCTGAAAAGAGATTGTCTAGATTTTGATTAACTTTAACTTTTAGAAACTCTCAGGGCTGCCACATAACAATCTTGGTCTAGCTAAATAGTGCTCTGCTTTGAGGTTGTGCAGTGCACAACCTGAGCAACTGTAAGCAGTGGCTTTTTGCTTCAAAAAGCACTCAAGAACAGTAAAATGGTTGTATTTGTTGGGTAGAGTGGATCACTAAGGCAGATAGATAATTAAGGTAGAAATTTGAGATGATGGACTCTCAGAATCTAAAAGAGTACTGGGGAGTCCATTTTCTCAGCTTTTATTAATTTATTTATTTATTTTTAAAGATTTTATTTGACACAGAGAGAGAGGTCCCAAGTAGGCGGAGAGGCAGGCAGAGAGAGAGAGAGAGAGAGGAGGAAGCAGGCTCCCCACTGAGTAGAGAGCCCAATGCGGGGCTCGATCCCAGGACCCTGGGATCACGACCTGAGCCGAAGGCAGAGGCTTTAACCCACTGAGCCACCCAGGCACCCCTATTTTCTCAGCTTTATAAACCTAGGTCAATTACCCTCAACTCTTTGATGGGTCCTGATAATGTTTTCTCATAGCAGTATACAACTGATTACAAAATTTAAGCAAATAAAACACTGGAGGAAAATCTCTCGCCTCCAGAAGTATTCAAGGACTGCTGTGGTGGGACAGCTCTAGTTCCTTCTAATTTGTTACCTTTCTCATTGGACCCATGGGTAGTCTAGCCTGTTCTTAAGTTAGAGCGATCCTTTATTCTTTACCACCTGGTTATTACACTTTCCATCTAGAATGTCCCCAGCAGGGCCTGAGTATCAGGGAAAGCATATCCCTGAGTCCCCACACCTGCACCAGTTAAGACACAGTAAGCCCTCAGGGCTCGTGGGTGCAGTGTTTTTACAAAGGATCTGTTAACAGTTGGTGGCACTTTTATTTTTTAAAAATTTTTAAAGTTTTATTTATTTAAGTAATCTCTACACCCAATGTGGGGTTCAAATTCACAACCCCGAGATCAGGAGTTACATGCTCTGAGCCCACCAGGTGCCCCACAGTTGCTAATATTTTAAAGCAGGGCTTTGTTCCTTTCTGTTTCTTTTCACCTCTTCTTTTTTTCACTTGTATCTTAATTATTTAGTAGTACTTTTGAAGCATTAAAAAATTGAGGTATAGGGACGCCAGGGTGGCTCAGCTGGTTAAGTGTCCAACTCTTGGTTTCAGCTCAGGTCATGATCTCAGGGTCGCAAGATCGAGTTCCGTGTCAGGCTCCACACTGAGCATGGAGTCAGCTTCAGATTCTCTTTCTACCTCTTCCTGTGCCCCACCCCTACCCTGCTTGCCTGTGCACACTATCTCTCTCAAAAAAATATTGAGGTATAATTTATGTATATGAAATGCACCTATCTTATGTCGATCAACTTTGACAAAGGTATACACCTGTGTAGCTTATACTCCCATGAAGATATAGAGCATTTCTGTTACTATAGAAGGTTTCCTCCTGCCCCTTCCTCATTGCCACCACCCAAGCCACCACGGATCTGATTTCTGTTTATCCCAGAGCCTCATATAAATGGAAACACACAGAGAGTGTTCCTTTGTGTCTGGCTCTTTCTTCAGTGTAGCATTCTGAGATTTATCTAGGTTGTGTACGTTTCACTAACTGATTCCCTTTTATTACTGAGGAGGGCGCTAGTGTGTGAACATCATGCCTTTTGTTTATCCATCTGCCTGCTGATGCTCGCTTGCACGGTTTCCGGTTTTTGGCTATTATGAATAAAGCTTCCATGAACACTCTTGTTTCAATTTCTTTTTAAAGATTTTATTTTTAAGTAATCTGTACACCCAATGTGGGACTCGAACCTACAACCCTGAGATCAAGTCACACATTCTCCCTACTGAGCCAGCCAGGTGCCTTCCCCCCACGGACGTTCTTATACAAGACATTTTTGTGGACTTATATTTTCATGTCTCTTGGATAAATACCTAGGAATAGAATTTCTATGTCTTAGAATAGATGTACATTTAACTTTTAAGAGAGTGCCAGTTTTCTGAAGTGTTTCTACCATTTTACACTCCTACTCAGCAGTGTCAGAGAGTTCCAGTTCCTTCACATTGTTGCTAATATTTGGTGTTTAGTCTTATTTTAGCTAGTCTGCTTGGTCTCTTGATAATGCTCTTGACCGAGCTACCCTTCTCACTCATTCCCGAGTGCCTGGAAAGAGAGTGCTTCTGTAGTTGCAGATATGGCCCTTTGGGTCCCAACCTTGCGAGTGCACTGGGAGACGGTGGTAGGGATCAGGTAGATGGTTTTCTTTATCTGGAGTGCAGACCCTGCCACATTGCCCCCTTCGGGTACTGCGTTTGCTCCTTGGTGGATGGAATCCACCTTCCCCTCTTGTCATTCAACCTCATGATTCACTCAGAGGCTTCAAGAACCTTGCTTCCCCTTGGACCATTTTAAGCACTAGTGGAGAAGAGAAGTTCTTCTTCTGTTTGAAAGTTTGCATTTCGTCTTTGTGTCAGGCCCCCTCTGTTGTGTGTTCAAGAGGGAGGATTTCAAGAGCCCAGAGAGCAGAGAGACCCACAGGAACCGGACCCAGAAATGACCTTGTTGCCTGGTGTACCTATTGCTTATGTGTGAGACAAAGCAAGTAGCACTAATTACTTCTTGGACCCGACCTTCCATTTTCCTGCCGGTTCCCAGGGCTAAAATCTGGTGAGAGGAAGTTCTCTTGATGTTCAAATATCTGTTAGTCTTGAATGTGGTAAGATGGAACCACACTTTTCCCTGTGGCTGTTTCATGCTCTGATCATCAGAGAAATTGGATTCACTCCCTCAGTCTGAAGTCAGCAGAATTTTAACCGTGGCCCACAAAAGCACTGGGTCATGCCGTGACGAGCACCGGGCAGTGTCTGGAAGTGTTTGGTCACTATCTGTCCACCTGAAACGAATATGCTACATAATTTATGCTGAAATTGTGCCTTCCACGATAGCTGGTGCAGGGGCGTTGTCTTTTGAGCACCTTTACCAATTTTCCAGGTCCCTGGAGGTTGTTGTCACGAGTTTGAGCTGGCCAGCCCCACACTGCCTCATCATCAGGGCCCTCTGTAGCGCGGTCATTAACATCTGCTGGGTGGAGGTGGTGTGTCTCCTGCTTGTTGAAGAACTGGGGGAAAGGAGGAGCCAGGCTGATGGCATCAGAGGGGAAGCATTTGGGGCACATTTGAAATTAAGGACCAGCAGAGCCAATTAGAAAGGGGAGCATTCTCTGCAGAGGAAGCAAGGGGAGTTGGGTGCTTTCAGGAGCTGCTGGTTCAGTAGCGCTCCGCCGAGGCCGGGGTTGGTCCTAACACCATGGGTATGAGGGGAGTAGGGGCTGGGCAGGCTGCCAGTGCACAGCGAACCCCGTGCCGATGGGAGCCTGGGTGCCAAGAGAAGCAGCGCCCGAGGAGTCTCGAGGCCCTGCACTCAGCTTATCTCCTCTCCGCCCTTCCTCATCACCACACGACTGCACTGCCATGTCCCTCACACTGAAAGGGAAGCTGGAAGGGGGCCAAGAACCATAGCTGCCAGAGAGACAGAGCAAAGCCCTGCATGGACTGTCGCTTTGCCCGCCTGCACAGGGATGCTCTGGCCGCCCTCTGGGGCTTGGGTGCCCCCAGTTGCCTCGCTGTCGCTTCTGCGTGGAAAAGGCCTCCCACAGAAATCATGCTCTTCACACCCCGAGCCCGATGATGTCATTTGCAAAGCCCCTCCACCAGCGCCGGCCACAGGGACCATGGAAGCCTTCAGGGGAGTCGTGGTAGGAAGAAAGCGAGTGCTCTGAACCTCTTGTTGGGCTGCACAAAAACCAGATCCCAGAAGACCCTCCCCTTTGTCGTTAAGCACACACACATATGTACAAACGAAACAAAACAACAAAACCATAGTGGTGATAAAAAAACAAAAACAAAAAAAAACCCTCTAGGGAAACGGAATTCAGGACTTTCCTTCCCAAGCAGTGGTTGAATTATTTGAAATCAGTTCAGTCTCTAAGGAAGTGTAGCAGCCCCTTGTGTCTTGTTCTGAAACTCTTGATTTAAGTGCAGCAGTGAACGAATGACTGTCTCTAAGTTGTTACACTGAGCACCTAATGCGCTGTGTCCTTAGGAAGATTGCCTTTCTTGCTCCGCTCCATCCAAATCTGAGCGACAGACCGAGGCCCGGGGGTCTGAAGGTCTTGGCTCCTCTCGAGTCTCAGAAACTCCAGCCCCGGGAGGATGAGGCTCTCTGCTGTGGAAAGGCTTAATTCCTTTTCTCTGGACATTTTTGGAAGGCTTTCTGCTTTTTTAATCTCCTGACTTCTTGTTTGTGACCAAGTTCACATTCCAGAGAGGGAAGCGGCCAATATGTGTGATTATTTCCTCTTGCACCAAGTGGAACTAAAAGAATGAACTTACTTCACTAGAAATAAATGTACCCTTTGGACCTTAAACCCGAATGAGTAAGCACGGTTGGTCTGGCCCCTCTGCCGTCTGTGCAGTAATTAAACACAGAATGAGAAAAAGATGTCAGAGGCATGCATTCCCAATCTTTTTTTAGACATAAGGCAGAAAAGAATAGACCAATTTTTTTTTTTTTTTTTTTTTTTTAAAGATTCTTTTCGTCCTACACTCTGCCTTGGGCAGGGATGGCCACCAGGTGATGAGGAAAGACTAGGGTTTGGAGTGACTGGGTGCACGTTTTGGCTTCCCGGTTCAAGAGTTGAGCAGTCCTAGACACATCCTTAACTTCTCTGACCACCAACTGAATGGGGAGCCTGGAACACCAGAGAGTTATTGCAAGGACTGAAAGAGATGCTGTACGTAGAGCCTTTAGCGTACGGGCCCACGCAGGGCAAACTCATGCTAAACGGACGTTAAGATCATCACGCTCTTATTTTAAGATGATTTAAGCCATTAACACAGAAACACTGGGAATGGCAGAGGGAATTCAGTGCCGGGCGGCTCAGTGCTCCGATGGCTGCTGTGCTAAAGACCTCACCTGTGTGTCCCGGGGCAACTGGGGGTAGGGTGTGGGGGGGCCATTGTCTCACCCTTGCTGTGACTCTCAGGTGACCTCTTCAGCGTCCCGGACTTCCCGTTCCTGTATTTCTACAGATTCCATGGCAGCTGCTGTGCCAGGTAAGCTTAACGCATAACCCCCTGGCCCTATTAATTTGTCTGGGGTTGTACTAGTGGTATCTTCGTCAAGTCCAGGGTCACAGCCAGTTATCCAGATGAGGGGCAGAAGAGAGCAGTGGCCAGGCAGGAAGCAGCCCACTCAGTCATCCACGGGTTGTCATCAACATCCTTAGGTGCTCAGGGCCGGATTGGGGCCTGGAGGACCTGTGTTCTGTGGAAGTTCCTTGGCCAGAGCAGTGCTTTCCAAACTTGCAGAAGAGCTGAGAACCCTGCACTGTTTTTCTTTCCACAAGCCATTCCTAAACAGCACTTCAGTGTATAAAATGATGCATCAGATTCAGTTCAAGGGAGGATTTGGGGCCAGAATTACACCCGCTCAGCTTCCTCTGTGGCCCTCGCCTTGTCCCTAAAGGGCGGCCTCCCCAAAACCTTGACTGAATCCTAAGACCCTGAGAAACAGGTTTTGGAAGCCAGTGACTAGGAGACATCTAGATGACAAAGTGACCCTTACTACGTGGCCTTGGGTGGTACATCCCAGTGGGATGGGTACGTATAGATGGAGTTCAGACCCGCCCTCTCCCTACTTTTTTGCCATGAGTCCCATGTTGCCTGACTTTCTTCTGCTGAGAAATGGAAAGGCTGGATAGCCATGCGGTATGGGTTCTGCTGGGGTGGGAAGCCCAGTGTTGGGTTGGGTGCCAGCCTTGCTGCTTGCTAGTGTGTTTGTTCTTTGGGTGAGCTGTCATTCTCTCAAGCCTTGGCTGAGTTTCCTCATCTGTAAAGTGGAAAGATAGTATCACTCCAGGTGATCGCATATACTAAATAAGGCGAGTAAGCCCTGAGCACCTCGCCTGGCCCGGGAGATGATGGCCGTTACTGTCCTTCTCAGCTTGACTGTAATTAGCTCAAATGTCCATAGACCATGAGCGATGGCTAAGCTAGACCACTTCACATGTAAAAGGTTGTACCTTGTGAGGCAGTGATTCCTTGCAGAGACCAGGAGCTGGTGTGCAGCTACGTCCTGTTTCTGATAGGGGTGTGTTAGAACAACAACAACAAAAATCAATATTGTACAGTTTGCTTTTGCCTTTGAGCCTCAGAATGACTTATTTGTCATCCTCAGCTAACTTTCAGGAAAATACTGACAGAATTCATCTTCCCAGTTCCAAATCAGTTTGGTCAGACCTTGTCAGCTGCCCTTTAGCTGGGCTCAGGTGGCGTGAGTGTTCGTGCTGCTCCCATGTCCGTGGACTTGTTTCTCTCTGGGTCCGGTCTTCTGGCAGCACCAGCAAACACAGTGCAGAGGGGAGGGCAACCACCATGTGGTTCATTGAAACAGCAACACGGTTCCTAGCCCGGCGATGCTGGCTTTGTGGGGTGATAGTCTGGCCCCATTTCTGCCCCTTTTATTTTATTTTTTTTTAAAGATTTTATTTATTCATTTGACAGAGAGAGATCACAAGTAGGCAGAGAGGCAGGCAGAGAGAGAGGAAGAAGCAGGCTCCCCACTGAGCAGAGAGCCCGATGCGGGGCTCGATCCCAGGACCCTGAGATCATGACCCGAGCCGAAGGCAGCGGCTTAACCCGCTGAGCCACCCAGGTGCCCCAATTTCTGCCCCTTTTAATCTGCATCTTTCTAACAACCCAGCATGAACAATCAGGGTTTTACTTAAAAGATTTGGGAATCTTTGCTTGAATTGATATGAAACTATTATGTTCTCCCCACTCCCACCCGGTTGCAGTGTGTATCCGTTTTCCTGTCATCTTACGATTCATCTACTTCCATATCTCAGACTAAGTGTTGTCACCTTCAGAGGCCCTGGAGGAACTCAGAAGGAGTCATGGAGGCCTGGGGGGATGGTGGTAGCCATGACCCAGAGACACATTAATGGGGAGCCCATGATCTTTTACTTCTGGGATCCTCCCATTGCTTTTAAGGTCGTCCTCTGTGGTGAGGTGTAGAAGAGCTGAATGTGGAAGGAGACAGAGAGGGACCCATGAGTAATTTGGAAATGATTCACAGACATACCAGTCAAAGGATGGGAAGGGGTCGTGGATACTTTCCCAAGTGTGTTGGGCATGGGAGTGGCTCTTTCTAGCAGAGTCTGTGCTAAGGGGAAAAGGGACATGGAATCTTGCCCTTCCTCTGGCAAGATTCCACATCCCTTTTCCTGCAAAGTTGTTTCCTTCCTTGGGGCAGGGGTGACGCCAGCAGGAGGAGCCCTGGAGTGCTGGCCGCCTTATTTTCCACTGCCAACCTCACAGTGGCCGTGGGCACCTTCAGCATTGCTCTCTGTCTTTGGGTCAAGAACGGATCTTCATGGCGAAGTTTGAACCTTCTCACCATGTAGAACCTTTGAAAGAGCCAGGAAACCTGGATGCTGATAGGCTAGGGAGGCTTTCTGTTCTGAAAAGTCTGATTTCCCTCAGATAGGATGAGGACCACTTTGCTTATTCCTGCTTCAACACAGAACCTGAGGCAAGAAGAAAAGGGACAAGAGAGGGATGAGTCAAGGTCATGAGGGTCAGTGGGCACAGCCCAGGTCACTCAGTTTTTAGCCTGCTGCTTACCCACTAGACCTCCTTGCCTTTCGGGTGTGAATGACTGACCATCTTCGTGCATAGCTGCCCAGCCTCCCATGATGGCAGACACAAATCTGAACCGACTTTGCAGGTCATCAGGGCCCAACAGGCTGAAATATACACAAGGGAGCCCTCATCCCTGTCCTTGGTCCTGCCCCAGGAATGTGCTGTGAACTAATCTGATGTAATGAAGAGAAGGCACACATTTCCATGAAATTTGATCTTACAGGTGTTTAATTCCAACCGGCCTTCTTCTGAGTACACCTGTCAAACATCTGTGTCCTAGGCACCATGTTTGGCTCTGTTGGGGAAAACACAAAGAAGCCCAAGATTGGGGCCTGCCCTCTCAGAGCTTATGACCTGAGTGGGGCCCACAGCTGTGTCTATAATAAACGTGAGATAACAGGGTGGCTTTTGAAACCCTGAGGTACAAATGAGCTCATAGGACCTGCCTCTGTGGTTTGGGGTACAACTGCAGTCATATCTCTTGCTTTTCGATTTCTAGTAAGTCACACTCAAGCCACCGGGTGCATATATTTACAGGAAGTCAACCTCTATCATGGCGTCTCTCTGTTGCACTCTCTTCCCCAATTGCCAAGCCTCCAAATGCAAGGAAGAGTGACCATTCTGGTAGAATGCCCTTCGCTTTGTCCTTGACCACACAGTGATGCATTCAGAAGTGGTTCCAGCACAAGCCACTACTTCCTGGTCCACTGCTGTGCCAATGCCTTGCTGCTCCCGATCTCTAGAACTCCCCATGGGGCATGGTCTCTCAGGTCACACACGTGGGCTTAGGCATCATTCCCAAAGGATTACATCTGCGTAGCTTAGCCTGGTTTGGGGGACATTTGCTCCTGGAGCCAGCCCTCCCCTTCAGATTCTCTTACCTTGAACCCAGGAATCGGTCCAGACCCTCTGTCCCCATATGGTGAGTTTCGCTTTGGAAGTCTTTTTCTGGCAGTTTGTTTTGCTTGAAAAAAGTTGAAGCTCTGCCTTGGCAAGCACTATGCTCCAGAAATAATATGGAAGGGAGCAGGAGGTATCGTCCGCCACGCTTTTCTTCTTTCATGATTTAGTCAGAGACTTCCCAAGTTTCTGTACTCTCTCCCTCCCTCCCCCACTGCCCACTACCCAGTGGAACTCTCTTATCATAGCTCCTTAAAAAATTAGAGCTTCCTGGGTTTTTAAATGCAGAGATCACTAGAAAACCCAGATGAAATACAGGTTCTGTAGTAATTAGAAACTGGTAAAATGTAAGAGAAAATAGCTGTTGGCTACAGGAAGACAAGTCTCACTAACAAAAGAATATTTTCTCCTTCCAGTGGATTATTAGGATTCTTTCTCATGCTCAGCACAGTGAAGCTGAAAAGCCTTATGGCCCCAGGGCAGTGTGCAGCCTGGATTTTCTTTGCTAAGGTAAGAAAGAGGGAAGGGGCAGGGGATTGATCTCAGGAGCCTTGATGTCCAGTGTTCTTGGAGCATGTGTGACATCATGTGTGATCTTCGTGAAGTTACTTCCAGTCATGGGCCCTGAGCCTGAACCTTCAGTCATTCTGATGACAATTTCCAAGGTCCTCTGCCTATTATATCAGCATAATCTTTATTGCACACCTGGAAGGGATAATCTCCTTATCTTCCCTGAGCCTTAATTTCCCCCATCTGAACGTGAGAGGTTTTGCCCACAGAAATCTCTAAGTCTTCTCCAATTCTTATGAGACTGGATTCCTGGATACATGAGGTAGGTCTTCTCTTCCTTCCTCGGGGCTGTGAGGGTGTCCAGAGCCCATGTGGTTTGCTTGATAGGTCTCAGTCTGTCAGGGATGGTAGAGAAAGGAAAACAGACAAATGGCCAGATAGGAGGACTTTGATGAAGCCTTTGGACAACAGACTATTATAAGAATGCCCACTGCATATCTGATGATTATGGCTGAGACATAAGATAGAGAGGTGGGAAAATAAGGAGCAGAAAAAGCACCTGTGGGATGCTCAATCGTGACTGAAATACTTTGGGACTAACTTTTCTAGTGTAGCATTTCATTTCTCTTGTGTGTGTGAAGGAGTCAAGTTGCAAAGCCCTATGTGCTGCTTCTGAGAAATGAGATTTCTTCTTTTTTAAAAAAATTTAATTTATTTATTTGTCGGAGAGAGAGAGAGAGAACACACAAGCCAGGGGAGCAGCAGGCAGAGGGAGAGAGAGAAGCAGGCTCCCTGCTGAGCAGGGAGCCCGATGCAGGACTCCACCTCAGGACCCTGGGATCATGACCTGAGCCAAAGGCAGATGCTTAACTGACTGAGCCACCCAGGTGTCCCAAGAAAGGAGATTTCTTAATTTAACCTAATGAAATAATCATTTAAGGTCATACCTTTAGTCATCTCTTTTTTTTCCTCAGAAAACAAAACCAAACATTTTTCTTCAAAAACAACATTTCACAGTAATATTTTCTTTCTTTTTTTTTTTTTTAAAGATTTTATTTATTTATTTGACAGATAGAGATCACAAGTAGGCAGAGAGGCAGGCAGAGAGAGAGAGAGGAGGAAGCAGGCTCACTGCCGAGCAGAGAGCCCGACGTGGGGCTCGATTCCAGGACCCTGGGATCATGACCTGAGCTGAAGGCAGAGGCCTTAACCCACTGAGCCACCCAGGTGCCCCCACAGTAATATTTTCACCTCCATAGATCTGCTTTTTAGCTGCAGTAATAATTCTAATTACAGTAAAATGTAAAGAGTGGTTGAGAGACTGACTTCCAGCATGACGGAATGAGGAGGTTGACAAATCTTCCTCCCCAAAAGTAACTGGACAGCTGGAAAAAGATTGTCAAAAATATCCATTTCAGCTCTCTAAAAATTGACGAAAGGCATACAACACTGAGAAAGCAAGCATTTGTTCATGAAAACTGCAAAACTTTGGGTAGGATCAACATGAGCTGGTCTGTGGCGGTCTTCTCTCAGGTCGCTCCCATTCGCTCCTCCCCAGCTCTGTCAGTGTGATATTTCAACCAGATGGGGCAGGCTGTGAAAACCAGCAGCCTTGTTGCTGCTTCCAGAATACTCTATATGGCGTATTTTTAGTTAAAGCCGCCATTGTCAGTGGTAACTCAGTAAGAAGAGCCAGTAACTCCACCATCTTGAGTTTCCAGTCCTCTTGGGGGCAAGAAATGGACCAGTGGTCTAGCTGAGGACTAAATAGGTAGGTGGGGGAGGTGAGACAGCCAGCACAGGGGTTTGATAGCTCTCCATGTGTCCCAGATTGACCGTAGTCTGTGTGCACGAGCGGCAGAGATGGAGTGTGCCCAAAACACCCACATGTCCCTGGCCAGCAGAGCCTGCATGCACACGCAGGAGATGGGAGAGAGCCAGCAAAAGCTGGGGCAGACAGGAAAAACTTCAGCCTGAAGTTTGATTGTGCTCCCCAGCCCACACACAGTCAGAAGCAGAGAGAAGAAGTCTTTCTGGCTGAAAGTGTTTGAACAAAACCTCCAACTAGTCTTTGCTAGAACACTAAGCTATGCAGACATGGGGATGACTTCTAGAAAGCCAGAAAAAGCTTAAAAATAAAAAGAAGGGGAAAAAAACTGAGTAAAGGACATTAGCAACTCTACCTTATATGGGAGACTAATTTCATAGACTTAGTCCAGGGAAATTACTAAACAAGCAAAATAATACCAATGACGATGCACTGAGAAAAGTCAGAATCCAAAGTTGCTATCCTGTATTATCTAAAATGTCCAATATTCAAAAACAAAAAAGTTAGGGGCATTCAAAGAAACAAGAAAGCATGATCCATACACAGGAAAAAAGCAGTTAATAGGAACTATGTCTAAGTGTCCTCTGATGTAGGACTTAGCAGAAAAAGACTGCAAAGCAGATATTTACACTTAGAGATCTAAATTAAAAGAAAGACTCAATGAATACAGGCTCTCAATAAAGAGCTAGAGATGATTAAAAAAAAAAGAGAGAGAGAGCCCCAAGTAGAAATTCTGGAGTTGAGAAATACAATAACTAAAATGAAATGAAATGAAAAAGTCCCTGGAGGTACTCAATAACAGATTTACTTATTTTTTAAATATATATATATATTTTTAAAGATTTTATTTATTTACTTGAGAGAGACAGAGAATATGAGACGGGAGAAGGTCAGAGGGAGACGCAGACTGCGGAGCTGGGAGCCTGATGTGGGACTCGATCCTGGGACTCTGGGATCATGACCTGAGCTGAAGGAAGTTGCTTAACCAACTGAGTCACCCAGGCACCCTCAATAACAGATTTAAATGACAGAAGGAAAAATATGTGAACTGGAAGGTGGAGCAAAATAAATTATTCAATCTAAAGAGCAAAGATTTTTTAATAATTGAAGAATTACGAACAGAGGTTCAGAGACCTGTGAAACAACATCAAGCATATCAACATATGTGTTATGAGAGTTCCAGAAGAAGAGAAAACTGATGTAGAAAAAAAATATGATCAGTGGATGACTTATCAAAAACTATGGAAACTCGAAGGCAATAGGATAACATATCCAACACGCTGAAAGAAAAATCTGTCAACCAGGAATTCTACATATAGCAAAACTGTCCTTCAAATATGAATGAGAAATAAAGACATTCCCAGGTAAAGACTAAGAGATTTATTGCTAGCTGCTGTATCAGTAGTTATATTAAATGTGAACAGACTAAATATCCCACTCAAAAAGCAAAGATTGTCAGACTTGATAAAAAAGCAAGATGCACCTGTATGCTGTCTGCCAAGGACACACCTTAGGGACGCCTGCGTGGCTCAGTCTGTTAAGTGCCTGCCTTTGGCTCAGGTCACAGCCCCGGGATCCTGGGATCGAGTCCCACATCGGGCTCCTTGCTCGGCGGGGAGCCTGCTTCTTCCTCTGCCTGCTTGTGCACTCCTCTCTCTTTCCCTGCTTGTGCACTCTCTCTCTCTGACAAATAAATAAAATCTTTAAAAATAAAATTAAATTAAAATAAGACACACCTTAGATTCAAAGACATAAATAGGATAAAAGTAAAAGGATAGAAAAACATAACCATGCAAACAGTAGCTTATTAGCAAGCTAGCTGGAGTGACTATATTAAAATCAGACAAAATAGACTTTATGACAAGAAATATTACTAGGGAAAAACAAAGACATTTATTAATGATAAAAGCATTGATACACTAGAAAGAAATGACAGTTATAAATGTATGCACCTAACAACAGCACCCCACATATATGAAGCAAAAAGTGACAAAATAGAAAGGAGAAATAAATTATTCAACAATAATAGAGATGCCAATCCTGCACTCTCAAAGGTGGTAGAAAAGCAAGGATATAGAAGCTACAGATGACGTGAACAATACTATCAACGAGCTTGTTATAACGAACATATGCTACTCTACCCATTGACTGCAGAGAACACATTCTTCTCAAACACACGTGACACTTTCTTCAGGATAGATGTTATGCTGGGTGACAGAACAAGCCTCAGTAAATTTAAAAAGATTGAAATCATGTAGACTATGTTCTTTGGCCACAGTAGAATTATATCAGAAATTTACAACAGAATAAAAATCTAGGAAAATACCCCATTTATTTGGAAATTAAATAACATACCTCTAAATAGGTCATGGGGCAAAGATGATGTCACAAGGGAAAATAAAAGTATTTTGAACCAAATGAAAATAAAACCACACAATATGTCAAAACTTATGGGCTACAATATAAAGTAGTACTCAGAGGGAAATTCATAGCTATAAACACCCCTATCAGAAAAAAGAAAAGTCTCAAAGTGTAATCTGAGCTTCTACCTTAAGAAACTAGAAAAAGAGCAAATTAAACCCATAGCAAGCAGTAAGAAGGATATGTTAAAGTTTAAAATAGAAATTAGGGACACCTGGGTGGCTCAGTGGGTTAAGCCTCTGCCTTCCGCTCAGATCATGATCTCAGCGTCCTGAGATCGAGCCCCGCATCAGGCTCTCTGCTCAGCAGGGAGCCTGCTTCCCCCTCTCTCTGCCTGCCTTTCTGCCTATTTGTGATCTCTCTCTCTGTGTCAAATAAATAAATAAAAATCTTTAAAAAAAATTTAAAAAGTAGAAATTAATGAAATACAAAACAGAAAAACAAGGAAAATCAGTGTTGGTTCCCTGAAAACAGCAACAAAATTGACAAGTCTGTAGCCAGAATGACTAGGTAAATGAGAAAGAAGATACTATTTATTAAGATTAGAAATGAAACGAGGGACATTCACTACTGATTCTATAGAAACTAAAAGTATTTATTATGAGTAACTTTCTTATTATTTATTATGAGTAACTTTCTTATTATTTATTATGAGTAACTTTCTTCATTCATATTACGCCAGCAAATCAGACAATTTAGAGAAATGGACAAATTCCCAGAAAGGTACAAACTAGGAAAATTGACTCAAGAA